CCCCCCCCCCAGTGACCTCAACATCCAGAAACCTGACATATGTCCACCTTAAGCCTACCCAAACTTTGTGTTCAATAAATTACGGGTAATTAAATCTTTGTAGTAATTAAAGACCTAAAATTCCTTGGAGGAATGCATGTTGCCAACTCATTGCTTTCCATGCCAGAGTTTCAAACTATGACCATCTTATGATGGAGAATAGCCTTTTTAGTCAAATTATATATGTGGCTTTTTGCACAGTCTTGTGCATTACTGCAAGATCTTGTCAGATGTATTAGAGCTTGACATGTTTGTTAAGGGTGAGTCTCAGTTCCTACCGCATACATTTTTTAGCTCAGTATGAGTAAAATTATTTGAGTCATGGCCATTTTTGTGTTGGCTAAGTTTGACTGGGGCGGCCTTAGGTTGGCTTCAAAAGTTAATTATTGTAAACACGTCTAATGATTTCTTTTTAAGCGTTTCATTAAAAGCCATTGAGTGGTTCATGAGATATTGGCTAATGGACAAACATTGTTGGCTCTCCAGGAGTTATACCAAAATTTTAGGTGAACATATTGCACAATGTGTAGCACTTAGAGAGAGAGCGATTGTGATGGTGATATTCTCAACAGTTTTTTAAGCTTTGATGGGATCTTTAGCCTTACCCAAATGTTAAGCCATGCCAAACTGCACACTTAGCTTAATAGTGATTATCTTCTTTGATGTAATGTTGGAAAAATTTGATGTATTAGAACATGTCTTGCCTGTTTTTTCAAGTTTCTCGCAAATGGTAAATACTTCACGGGCATCATGGTTTGTTTGGTCATTTTTACAAGGACGCCTAACAACCCTCTATCACAAAATATCCACTAGTAGAAATTTTCTTGCACCATCATATTTTTGTATGGCCAACAGTTCCTCTAGTTCACAACTTTAAACTCTTAATCAAGTATGTGCCAAGATTTAAACAGTAGTTTTCTGTATTTTGTTTGAGCCGGCAGCATCGGCGGGTTAGAGTTTTGTTATTTTTCAATCACACTTTCATTGTTGAGGCCAATTTCAACTTGTCAAATAACCACCTTTCACAATTTTTTTAAAGCAATGCAGCTTTGGTGGATTGTTTGCCAGATTTTAAGTGCACATTTAATTTCCTGCCAAGACTGACATACTTTTTGATTCATCAAACTGCACGAAATCACAGGCTCGAGTTTGAAAGCGTGAATTATCTTCATTCCTAAATGCCGTATTTAAAAACCTTTGAACCAAGTTCCTGCTGTTTGTCTTCTGTACAGTCAGAAATGACTTTTAATTGTTGGAGGCATCAAGTCCATGTAGAGGGCTTTCATTTACTCCAGACATGTGCATTGATGCGCTCATAGCTACTGTATAATCAAAGCATGAGAGAGTTGCTATTTGTGTCTGTGTTTTACCATGCTTCCTCTTTCTTAGTTTTGATGTAATCCTAAGGGCTATAATTTTGTAAACACACTGACACACAAATATAATCTGACACAACTCTAATACTTCATCTCATGGCAATGTCTCTGTCCTCTTTACTTTTATTCTGTCTAAAATCCTGCAGACATGCAAGCGTTCTCGTGAGGTTCTTATCCCTCAGATTTTGTCAGCAAACTATTCATTGGGAAAGTATGTAGGTCAATCTGCTTTGGTCTTTATCTCGAGCCACGGAGATAAGTGGCACTGTGATTAATATTTAATATCTATATGATCAGTGATGGCTGTTGTCGTGTTCTGAGGGCTTAGAAGTGTAAAAGGCAATTCATGCATGATGGAAAAAGGATGTTTGGAATGCAGGAGCTTTTTTAATCTCCTGCATAGATATCTCTGCAGCAAATCTGTCCAAACTCCATGTTTTATTATGTCCTTTCCAGTAGTTTTTCAGAAAGAAGCTGATCAAACTTTACAGAATATCTGAGTGGCAGAGAAAAAACTGGGAAAAACGTTACAAATATAAGCACAAGCCATAGTCCGTGTGGAGTGTTGCTCTTTTATAAAGAGTTGCCTGAACACAGCTGATCCTTTTGCTTGCTCTAATCCATTTTCTGGTGTTTAGTCAGTGAGCACGCACTGACGTCCCAGTGCGTTATATCACACATCTGTTAGGGTGCTGCGGCGCATTATACAAGTGTCACAGTCTTGTAGCAGGAAATAGGATGAAACGTCTGCAAAAAAAAAGTTGATTTTGGGGTAAGTTC